TGATGATACTTTGAACAGAGATTAATTAGTGTATGAAAAACCTTCGATATAAATTTCAAATCCCTTTATGGTTTATAAAGTGAGATATTGATAATTTTGTTATTGAACTTTAAACGTGCAGTTTTATGAGAATCAGTACTGTTCAGATACATAACCTGCAATATCTGGATAATTGACGTCAAGATTTGATTATAATTTTTTTTGAAAATAGCTAAAAACTTGGTGATTATGTAGCTATAGTCTTATCTTTACTCATGGCTTATGGAATGAGCAATAAATTAGTGAATAAAATAATTCTCTATAGTCATGCAGGTTACAATACTGCTGATCTTATGCGTCAAAAAGGTTAGGTACGAGTGAACTCCCTTAAGGGCGTAGAAACTCAATGCATGTAATAATGTACATAGTAATAGTGTATTATGTACTATTACAAAGTAGAACAATAAATGTACTAATACGTTAGTCTATGTGTTTGCCCACGTTTGTCACTGCTCTATATTAAAGAAAAAAGCATAGCCACTATCTAGTGCGTTAGTTACATAGAGACATTATAATAGAACACGCCAGGGACCAAATCTTGTGATACGTGCAAAGAGAAAGATCACTGCCAGCGAGTCCCCCTGTGTCCTTGTCTAACAAGTGTGTACATAGAAAGAAGTCAAAGCGCATACGTTAATTAGACAAGAGCACAGGGGGACCGTGGGCAGCCTTCTCTCTCACTCTGCATATCGTTGCCACTTATAAGCTATCATATCTTTGGCGTGCTTTATTCTAATATCTCTATGGTTGGCTACGGACTGGTGGCCGTTTAAGACCTCTACACTTCCAAAATCAGTGGAGCGTGGGCACCACAGTGTTAGTACAGTAAATTCGCACCTGTCAGTAATGCAGCAGTACCAAAATTTTATCAGTGACTTTAGATTCACAGAAATTTCAGAAACACAAGGACATAACATCTGTTATACTCGTAGCTTATTAAACATTTTTTTTCTCTTTTAAATTCAACTATTAAAATCAGAATATAAAAAAAATTTTTTTAAATTATTTTCCTTTTAGTTTTTTTTTAATTCAGTCATAATTTTTATGACTACCAATTATGTTCAAAATTTTTTAGGTTATACTGATGGTAGGAACATCGGTATCAATATTTTGATGTAGGTACGTAGGTACGTTTGAAGATAAAGTCAAGCTTGTACCTACGTAAAACACATATAAATCGCGAAGATTAAAAATGGTATAATATATGGGTTATGCACTTGGTTGCAATGCTGTTAACTAAACACAAAAAAATCAGTTAAATTAACAATTTAATAAAATTTTTTTATAAATTTTCGTTTACTGTTTGTATACAGCAATGTAATTTTTGTAATTTTTGTTGAAATTTTAAACAGGTCAATAATTTGTAATTTGTAATATAATTAAGTATTACAATAATGTGTGTTCACTGCTCACTGATAAATCAGAATGAGGTTATAAGCTACTCTTTGTAAGCCGTATTTCCACAAAAGTTGTAGAAATCACACGAATGAGTCAACAATATTTTATCGTCCCCCATTGCTGAGTAGAAATATTAAAGAATATACGTTTACTAAAACATTTTTAAATAACAACATTGAATACTTTACAATCAACGAGAAACAATACGGTACGTTGCAGTATCTTATTTTTTACATGGACAAAATATCTCATCTTGGCAAACATCAAAAAATCAGATCAAGCTCCTTGAAAAAATTTTCAAGCACTTTTTTTACATAAGAATTTAACTGGCTATCGGACAGTACGCACAATTTTTAAGAAGTTGGAAAAAATTTTAAAATTCAAGGCATGGACATCAATTTTTAAACTCAAGGAGTTTTGGGATCACTGATAAATAATTCAATGTCAAATTTAAGAAAATTTACCCTGTTTAGCCGTGAATGGTCAACTCTTGGCATAAACTATTGCATAACTATTCATATAGTCAAGTTACATTAATTTTAGTTACATTAGTTAATAGTTACATTAATAATAGCCAGGTTCTTAAAGTCGCTGATCACGAATGTTATGTTTAAATTATGAGAATGTTCCCACTTTACATGTTTGACCACAACCTGACAAAAAAAGTATGAGTTTTTCTGCAAAATGCCGACATATTATTTTCAAGGTTTTAGAGACCCTTATCAATGCGTAGTATGTAATATTCAATACAAATGAATAAAAACATTTTTATTTCAAGACTTTAAGGGTGTTGGTCACTACATCGGGTGGTAACAATAAATCAAAAACTTTGCTTAATAGAGATTTAAGCAGTTTAGCTGGTAGCTGTCGATGAATAAATGCGTATGAATCAGATGTAACTGAAAATCTAAGAGATATTTATTACTTTATTATTTCACGAACATTTTCGTAAAAAATTCTTTCGAAAGTCTTCGAATACTAATTATTTGACTTTAAAATTTTTTTTAACTATTTCTTAGTTACACTGTTAAATATTTTAGAATGATCATCGTAGTTTAACCGTATAGCACGTCGAGTTAAATTTAATCAGTAGTTGTCACAACACAAAATTCATGATAGGAAGGTTGTCCTCTGATTATGACTCATGAAAACAATTATTTAACTAGTTGTAATAAAAAATCTTAAGTTTCCGGTCACAAGTACTTAATTGTTTCTTCTGCAAATGGAATTCATCATTTTTAATGTTTTCCATCCTAACGGCAAGAATATCATATTTTCTACAACCTAGCAGGAATCGTGGGTTAAGTACTAAAAATGTTTTTGGGTCATGATTGTTCGGGAATTTCTTCTGAAATACAGTAACACTGGTAGGCTGAAGAAAAATATATCGTAGCCTTGGCTTTACCTTAAAGCGTGGTTATACCTGACACCTTACGTATAGTTATAGTAAAAGTCGAAGCTTGCCCTTCATGAGCAACAACAATTAAGACTCTATCCTAAGGTACCGTCTTGCCTTTAGTTTCCCATAAGACATAAAAATAGCTAGAACTATCACTCAACACACAATAATAACTCACTAACAGTATAGTGATACATAACATTGTCACTTAAGGTGTACAGTGTTATTGTAGGCCCTTTCTTCGAGCCCTGTAACAAGTAAGGCTAGTCCTAAAGAAGTGACCACGTTAAAAAAATCGCTTTTACTCAAGTGTCATTTGTTACTAAGCAAATTTTTCATCCCATTGCATCTATTTAAAACTGTGTGACTAATTTTATACTAAGCGCACTATTCTTTACTAAGTTATTTTTGCACATGCTTTTTGCTGCTATATGCAAAGTAGTGGCTTTCTGGTATTACTTAAGAATGCTGTCTATAATTTGTAATATAATAATTCAAGCTGAATGAAGTCAAAAGCTAATAGAGTTGACTGCTGAGAAAAGACAAAACAAATGTAAGTATGAATAAAAAAAGATAGTAAGAGTGTAAATAGTACAAAAAAATGAGCTCTTAAAATAACTCAACAGTAACTGCAGCAAACCAAAACCACAAAACAGTAAATAAATTTTTCTATGTAAGAAGGTCAAAAAATTAGTCAGATAATGGTAATAGAAGTGTGTAGCTGAGTCACGTATACTGTTTTCTTACCAAGGGCACAAAAGGCGATTTGGTGCCTATGGGCAGATTTTATACCAAGGGCCCAAAAATAATTTTCTGCTTGTAAATGTATGGTAATTATAAGGCGGCAAAGTAGGACCTAAAGATGAAAAGCGATTGTTGTACTTCGAGCACTAGTTAAAAAAAGTACTTTAAGCCCAGAAGACCGTAAAGTATTGTACTGAGTTATAACATGTTACACTCATAGTAATGCAATTGTAGTTTTCACAATGCTCTGCAAGTGACTTCGGGCCTAGTATTTGTCCTGCAGAGATGCTAAATAATTGCGAACGCTGTTTGTTTCACCAGGACAATGGCTTAAACAATAAAAATCAAAAAGTTTTTCATCAATGTACAACTTGATGTCATGAAAGGTTATACAACAGTTTTCAATTAGGTTCTTAAAAAAATCTATGCAATTTAGCTTTGTAGACGAAGATCAAAAAATGTAAATAACGACTAAACACATTTTACGTAGAATTTTCATAAAATCAAACTCACATTGCATTTACTAAGTGATTATGATTGCAATTTGATTTTTTACTGATACCTATGTAATTCTGTTAAATGAATATTACAAACATAATTAATTTTCAAGTAAACATAGGGAAGGGCGAGGTATATATGTTAGACGAGGAGCGGCGGCAGTAGGGTCGAGAAAAATATCTCTTAATCTGATAAGGTAGAGAAACGGTCTAATTAAAATGTCACATCAACTTCATGATCAAAACATTATACATAGTTAGGCATTGTAATCGGTTTGAATTTAATTATTCTTGTATCCAAATGTTATTTTACTGCATGTTGACAATCGACTATAAATTAAGTACAAATATAATCTTGTGTTTGAAGAATCTTTTTTAAATAAACTTATATGATAAAAACTTTTTTTTCTATCGACTTACTTCAACATAAAATTAAATTTTGCTGAGAATTATTGGGATGTTAAAAAAAATGTTGAAAATAATCAATTTTTCAAAAATTATAAAATAAGAAAATTTTTTATTCAATCTAACAGAAATTTTGTCAATCAGGAGGGAGAAATAAAATTTGTTTTAAAAATACCACGCTTGAATAATAGGAATCCCCTCACACTAATTAGTGAATACAGTATGTAAAATATTTTTCATACAAAAACATCAGTTTTTTATCATTTACAAATGGTCAATCTAATGTATATTCATATAAACAAAATTTATTGTTGGATTGTTGAATTCTGAAAGAAGCATTAACCGTGTAAGTTCTCGAAATTCTCAAGTGAAAAGTCTTAAGACTATGGAGAAAACTTCAAATTTTCTAGTCTGTTGCTAAGCTGTCTCTATACAAAAGCTAATAAAAAACTTTACTAGCCAAAGTCGAGATATTGAAATAGTAAAAGAAAATCTTATAAGTGCTGCAATTATTTTACCTCTGAGTCCGAAGTTCCTTCATCTTCATCTTCATCATCTTGAGCTTTTTCGCTATCTGCAGTTTTTGTTTCTTTGTTTAACGTCTCTTGATCATCTTGCTCTTTTTTCATTTTTTTCTCTCCTTCCTGTAATAAGTTTGAATCGTTATAAAAAGCCTTAATCGTTACTGAGTTTGTTTTATTCTTTTAAAAGTTAAAATTTTTTAGGCAGGCCATGCATGGAAATTCAACCTGTAAAAGGACAGGGTGAGTACAGATGTAGATATACAACAACATTTAGATTTTTTATATTCTGTTTTGTGCAAATCTTTGGATAAGATTTAAAGCTAACTCCTAACTTCTGTAGCTCCACCAGTCTGCTTTCTGTTTACATATGTTCATTGATACAAGCGTATATTATGATTTCTATTTTCTTTTCTTTCTTTCCCTCTCACTTTCTCTCTCTCTCTCTCTGTCTTTTTTACTCATATGCATACACACAGTTGCTGTATTCTTTGGAAGCCAGATAATTTAATTGTATCACTAAGTAACACAGCCTATACTAGACCAATACAGAATTTTCACTGGTCAGAGGGCTATTTTAGCAAAGTATCGACTATGCCTCACAACGATATGTTTAGAGATAAAAGCTCCTGCTGATTGGAGCATGATCAGAAAATGTTAAGTGGCTGTAATCATCACCGTCTCTGAAATCATACCTTGCCTGCAATACACTATTGTTAACTTATTTTTAATCTATTTTCAAAATATGTTTCTGTGATACGAAGAACTTTTAATGATCTGCTGTTTATTTCTAATGCTTTTTCTTTAGAATTATTGAAGCTTTATCTCAAATAATGAAATCGAATTATTACTTTTTTTTTTTTTTCAATGGGTATTGAATTTGAGAAACGTGATCTCTGTATTGCTCAAATCTTATGAAAGTCTAAAGGGCGACTACTACATTTAGTCAAATATTTTTTTAACTACGAATTTTTTCTAAATGCAATTCGTTTTAATGTAGTTAAGTTAAATCATTTACATGATGTATCTTCTGATTCTAAAGTTTGGTTTGTATGTAAAAGAACCATTTAAGTTGACGATTAACAAAACTTTGTAAAAAACTCTCATTATGCATTTGATATTCAATCACCTTAAATATTTTTCAAATTAAAAAACCACGCGGAAATGACCTCAATCGATAAGGAAGCATAAAAACTACATAAATAATACAGGATATTCTTACTTCTAATACAGATTTTTTAATCATATGCTATCTTAAAAGTACTAACTATTAAGACAGTTATAACTGTACCATATGCAATGAAGGGTTTGACGCAAAAAACTTGCAGGGAAGCGAAGTCACACTAGTATAAATATGTACCTTTCTATGTTACATGGTTTTCCAAGCCAGGCTTTTCACTTTACCCCTTCACACCCTGCATCTACCACCACGCCGCCACCACCCCGTTCGCTCCCCATAAAATAAGAGAATATTAAATTGCTATTGCTATTATTTTAACCTGATAAAGTAAAACCTAGAGCCCATCGAGCTCTCTAGCCGCCCACACTATATTTACAATACATGCTGCCACTAAAGCTTTCTCCAAAAAATTAGAGAAAATTTTATAGGTTGGTCTGTTATTTTCACTTTCACCTTAACTTAGTAATAATAATATTCTGCATTTTTTTCGTACTTTTCCCTCCTTGCAATTTGAAAAAATTCTATAGATGTGTCCATTATTTCCACCTATCAAAGTTATACCGTATTTATTCTCACCCCATTCTCTAAAACATATTTTTTTTGCATCATAGTGTACTGACTAACTGAGGTTATGTACACTTTTCCTTTCCTTTATTTGCAATAGTCTTTTATATTATGTTATCGTATTATTTTTTTTACATATTCATTCTCTTATTTATCGCTGTCATTACATTGTCTTCATTTATTTCGCTTTCACGCGTGACCGGATTTCGAGAACTCATCACAATTCTTTATCTTTTCATACGCTTAATATTTTCATTTTCATATTAAAATTGAAGCCTTATCCTAAATTGGTTTCATGAATTCGATACCCGGCAAGAACCATCAGAAAAAGTCTGACTGCCCCGACCCGGAATCAAACCTACGATCCCTTGAGCTGTGTTGTTTTAATGGTTAGCACGCTATCCAACTGAGCCAACGACAAGCTACTAAAATATATTCAAGACTCAAGAAAATATTAGAAAATATGGTAGTCTTGGACAGTAGTTCTATAAAACCCTGAAGAGACAGAACATCCCAATGCCCGATTTCAAGAAAAAAAAAACAACATTTAAAGAATGTAGTAATGTAAAAATAATATTGTTTCATGTTATATAATTACTTTCAATACCTTATTTGTTTTTTGATTCAAAATTAGAAAAATTTTAAATAAAAATTTGATTACATTAGACATTTCTTGATTCTTAAGTACTTTTACGTTTAATTCGAATCAAATATCCCTTCTTTAGTTTTGCATCATAATAAAAAAAAGTGCAATTGTCGATAAAAAAATGAAGACTTTTTTAAGTATAAACCTACTTAAACATAACTTTGCCCATGAGATTTAATAACTGTCGTAGCAAATGCTAAAACTAGAGGAAATTGCTTTTTGTAAGGTATGGAAGGTAATGACGAGGTACTAACTGTATTGAAAGTGATTTTCAGTAGGAAGACATTTTTGTATGCCACACGATTTATGCTTTTGGAAGGTGTCGTATTTCTTTTAAATAAATAAAAAAAATTGTTATTTTACCAACTACAAGACTTTTTCGATAAAATACCAAATTTTTTAGAAAATTTGTCATTAAATTTATGTGCAAGTTAACAGAACAAATATATTTATTCGTACGATGACTTTATTTAAATAAAAAGTGAAAATATTAAGCTTCCAACATTCACACTTGGCGCATATTTTTCTTTCTAGCGCATTTTTATGATGAAAACCACGAGTTTCGTTCAAAAATTATGAAATAGCAATAAGGAGAGCTACAAAAAAAAGAGATCTACTCTGGCCAAGGCTTTAGTTTTTTCCTAGGGAATGACTCGCAAAGCACGCAGAGGGGCAAAGCTATATACATTTTTGTTATTTCGGCAGTACATAAGAAATTTTGAAAACAATGCTATTTACGGTGAGTTATACTAGATGTACGTAAAAATCAGTATCACCATCTTGAAGTTAAAGAGAAATTATTTATGAATGGATTTTGCTACACTGTTCGAGGAGACTTGTTAATGGAGTAATCAATTGTGCTACCAAAAATCCAGATACAATGTCGAAAGGCTTTGGTAAGGCGGTTTTCGAGTAACTATGCATGGGAGGCACCCTACTGGCTACAGCTGCTTAAGTGCCACAGTTTAAGGGCTATTGTTTACTAACTTAATAAGTTGTTACATGCAAAAGGATTGACCAAAATTTTGTTTGGCACAATAAATCCTAATATAAAAGGTCATGCAAATCCAAAGTAAAAAAATCAAATATAACGGCCACAACGCATAAAAAATTGAAAGTATCAGATCTTGGCTTTTATTCGTCTGCCAGCAATTTTTTTTTTTAATTCATGTAACAATAAGCGTCAACACTTGCACTAAGCTGTTTTCGTCTTAGTTTAAATTAGAGAAAATAAGACCTTGGAATTACGGTTTTTTGTCTATTTCAAAATCCAATTTTGAAGGTTGTCACGATAATGTTATTTTTCACTGATTCCAAAAAGATAGATGTCGTTTCCATATCCATGACATATTTTATACATAGTTGAAATTTGTAATTAATAATTTTACACGAGACCGCCATTTCAAAATTTTGTGATCAGACTTGGCATACAATAAAAAATATACCTAAGTCTATAAAATGTTTGACTGTCATTTAATTTTGAATACTGGAACATGCACTTTAATTTTTTTGCGCTTGTTTAAAAAAGGGAAATTTTTAAAAACTTTTTTTAACACTTATCCTTAGCGTAAAATTATCAGATAAACAACTTTAATGTTCATTATTTTACTTCAAAACCGCTACTTGCCAAGATATTTAATAAAAACTTTAAAAAGTGAATTTTTAAGTTATTCATTAAAAAAAGAATGACACGTATCTCCCTTGGAATAAACAATTAGGAGTGTTTACCCATTTTTCTAAAAATTGTAATATTGTATTTTTATAATGGTCCACCGTTTACTTATTCTCTGACACCCTGACTATAGGCGAGTAATATATTTTTTTTACCTGTAAAATGTGAACCAATACAAATTGGTCTGTTAATAGTT